AGGAGAGACCTTAAAATTCTCATTTTATTTTAATTAAGGAAACAAACTTAATTTACAAAGAAAAAATCTCCAACTTTTCTGCTTCCCTCAGAGGCAAATACTGTCTATTCCTGCTTATTACATTTCCATTAAGTAAATATGAAAAAGTTTTTGTACTCTACCAAACAAATTTAAGGGAGTTCCTTGGAATTTTTCAATAATACTGTGGAAAAGTCACATTCACAGAGATCTTGAAGATGATGTATTGAAATTTCAATTAAAAACCTTTCACCACAGGAACAACTATTTATTTTGTTTTTAAATCTAGTTGCCTTAACAATTCCAAACCTAATTTTTAAACTTCCCCAGCACACCAATTTTGTCAGTTGGCCTAAAGGACCATGAACTGACATCAAGGTACTACTAACTCTGAAACTTCTGTAAAGTGAGTCAAAAGCTCAATATTTCTGAAAATCAGATTAAAGAGTTGCTGTGCAAAAAAACCCAAGATCTGTGGAATACCTTTTTCTTCCACAATGATGTGATAGGAGATTTTTTTAAAAATAGAAATTATCAAACAAATAGGGTTGTGAGAACAGTGAGAAAGAAAGCAGCTGACAGGTCAGTACCAAATACATATTTTCATGGAATTTTTTGCCAGAGCCATGATACCTTGGGAAGTACTGATTTGCAGTTGGTAAAATTCAGTGCTTCATTTTGACATGGTTCCAAAACAATGCAGAAAACCAAAATCAAATCACCATCAGTTTTATCTGTTCCGATATCTTTCCATACAGACATGGGTAGAATCAAATTATATAAATTGTGAAGTTTTCTTATTTACTTACCTTTATGTCTTCAGGTTTATTTGAATGCTTGGAAGGTTTATGCAGAGAAAGGCTGCATGACTGTCTCAGTGGGACTTAGCAACCTAAATAACTGATCAACTCTGTCTTTACCACAGTTTGAAAGAAAGCTTATAGTAAGGTCAGAAAACAAAGCCAAGTCTTTCAGGGCAAAAAGCTCACTCTGAAAGACTACTCTTTCCTTAGTCCTTCTCACAGCAGATTCAAGAAGATTCAGCAACAACCTTAGCAGATTGATTGATTTAATTATTTTCATTGTATAGCGAGTTTGGGGGGTTTTTGGTAATACTCCTAGTGAAACAAGGTTTGCAAAAACACCAGTTCTAACAATTCTCAATTAGACCGCAGTCTCTTGAAGCAGCTGGGAACTTTCTCCAGAGACACATATCAAAATCCAAACGCACAGGCCACGGTAACAGAGCCGTATAAAATGTGTGATGATCTTATCTCTGACTTAAAATTAAAGATCTAGGTAGTTCAGTCTAAATGCATAGCCCCCACTAGGTGTTTTGGAGAGGAGTGGGAGAAACCACGCCTCTCCCTTGTGCTTCCTCAGCTAAGAATTTAAACCCTCCATAACTCTTTCCAGCCAATTGTGTCTGTTTAGAGCAGATTCCACAGTTACTTCCTCTCACAACTATAGTTCTTGTCAACTTGTGTTACGCATGGCTCAAAAGACAGATAAATAGCATACAGAGCCTTTCACCTCTAGGTCATCAGTTCAAATGTAGCTCATGTTCGTAGGGACCAAAAGTTGCTCTCAATAGATGGCTTTTTGGACTCCTCAGTAAACCTCCATTCCATCTGCGTAAACTAGTATGTATTCCAGACCCCAAATCCTGCATTATCTTAAAAGGTGTCTGCCATGGAGAGAAGGGAATGGAATTCCAATCTTTATACTAAAACAACTGCCCCTCAAAAATATAGAATATCCACGCTTTCTTCTTCCTTTCCTTAAAACAGTAGAAATTCATAGTGCAAGACTGTAAGACAATGGAATAATGAAAATATGTCTAAAAGGCTGCAAGCAGAGAAAGTCAAAAGAAAAGAGGTCTTTTAAAAAAAGACCAATGAAAACTTTGCTGCATTAACAACCTCAGTGGAGGTTTATGGGGAAAAATTATCTTTGCCTAAAATAAACATTCCTTATTGTTTTGTTAAGACAGGGATTGTGAATGCTCCTCTCTCTGACTCTTCCAGGAAAGCTTCACAGCAAAACTTAGGAAGGTCAGTTTTGAAATTCCTTGTACCTGCACACATCAGCTATCAGGTTTTTGCACTGATGCCAGGGATGTCCTTGCTATTGCTCAATCACTTAGTGATAAAGGCCAGGATACACTCACTCTTTGGATTTGTTGCCTGCTAAGCCACAAGAAAATTACCATTTGAATTACTTGCAAGTTCCATAGGATAGCCACCTCTAGGCTGTATTATAGGGAATTGTAAGTCACAGGCAAAGTAGTAACTGTAGCGTAGCTAATGAAAGAGATATCTGAGCTGGAGCAGTAGCCTGCAGCAGAGTCTAAACCTTCTGCACTCTATGTGATTTCAAGGTATGGTACATCAAAGCTGTGGCATCTCCCCTCTCCCTTAGATCTTTTTATGGTATGACAATGACGTGTCCAAACCCCTCAATTCAGTATATCCTCCTTTGACTTTTAAGACTTCCTGTCTGGCAACTCCTTCCATAGGAAAATTATCAGATCTGAATCTCTTAAAAGAACAGAAATTTAGTTTTAGGTTTAAAGAGTATTGACTATTTCTCAGAAAGCATAGCAACCATCAGTGGACTCTACAAAACTACTAGCAAACATGGAGACAAAATGCTAAAAGCCATCTGCAATTTTATCTCACCTAAGTGATCTCTCCATGATGACATTAGGAACTGTAACTTCCCTTGTAATTCTAAAACCGGGATGCTGCTTGTCTTGCCTGACAGAGCAAGGGAATGGCAGAATGCAAGCCTTAATCCCAGTGTTTCCATATTTCCAACACGCTAAATGCAGCACACTCTACAGACGACCTTGCAGAAGGAAGTGGTGCGATTCAGACAGCACATCCTGCAGTCTGTTCTCTGACCAGAGTAGCAAGGGCGCTGGACTGTTTACATCTTTCTGCTGAGCTGCTCCAAGAGCACTGCAACAACATGCTGCCAGCTGCTCTAAGCAGATGTCAAACCAGTGTCCTGTTCAGAGGAAACAGTGCATAGTAGTCAAGCTGATAAGATCTACCACACTGGTTCACATCTTGCAAGTTTTGATTGTAGTAAGAGAGAGCATAGTGCCATAGCTATTAGGTTTGTCTTAAAGCTCTTCTATTTCTGCAGAAGACCTCCCAGACAGCATGTGTGCACAGGTATCGTGTAGCACATATACCACTGTCGAAGATGCATCAGATTTACCGCAGTCTTGATTGATCTGATGTGTACAGCAGATCTGATGCTTTTTGGACATGTCTGCACACAGGCTTTAGAGCTGATTTACTCATACACAGTGGCCACTGTTGAGGATTTTCAGATGTCCAGCAGTATGGCAGGAGGTGTTGGCCACCCAAACAACAGAAATCCAGACAAACAGCCCAAAAGCAAATCTAGATTACACAGAAGCCCTGTAGACACGTGACTACGCATAGCTAGTTCCAAATGGAAACAGTCAGGTCCGGACAGACTTTTTAGCAGGAGCTCCCTGCAGTGATGCCAGGCACACAAGGAAGCAACAACAATGATCATGAATCCAGTAAGGGAAGACACAGAGCAACCGGTGTGACTGAGGCTGTATGAAAAGCAGGCAGGGACGAAGGTGGCAATGATGCTGTAGAAATCAGGAAAACAGCAGCAGTAGTATTCCTGGGGTGGGTGTGCATGAGGTGCAAGGCAGCAGCATCAGCCCCAGTGGGACAGGATGACAGCTACATGGGGGCAGGGGCAGCCAAGCTGCCATGGAGAGAGAACTGGGGATACTGGGGTTACAGCAGCAGTGAGTGGCTCTCTGAGAAGATGGAAAGTGAAGACACAGCAGAGGAAGGAGCAACTGGTCACATACCAGTTAGAAACCCTTATTCTAGGAATTTATTTTTAATTATGGTTTTAATTTTTTTTTTAACAAGTCAATTTGTCACAGAGGGAAAAAAAAACAAACCACAACACATTTTCTGCACTTCATTCTCATAGTCCCACGTACACAAAAATTAGCATAGAGATACCAGATAGGTCTAAAGAAAGGTATATGGAGTGAAATGTGCTTTTTTCTTGGATTATGAATTTGATTTAAATACATCATGATAGATTAATCAGGTATTACTGTACTCTGAAAGATCTTTACTCCCTAAGGATCTTATTATTCTTGCTTCTTAAACTGTTTTAAGCATCAAAAAAAAAATACACTTTAATTCACATTTTATAATCATAATTTCACTGCTTATTCAAGTAAACATTATTTTTCATGGCAATCACTAAGCTCCAAAAAGTCTTTATATTTAACATAACATTTGCTCACCTGCAGTAACATTCTTGAACACAGACAAGGTATTATGAAAAGACTACACGTACCAAGCTACAGGACTTAGAATACTTACTTGTCTACATTAGTGTTTGCTATTCTATCAGTTTACTTACAAATGTTATATTTTACTCACAGAAATAAGTTCACTCACCTTTTTACTTTCATCTGTTCTTTTAGTTTGCCGTACATTTCCAGCACTGCATAAAAACAAGCAGATTAACCCATGTATCTTATTGTGGCTTTAGTTAATAAAAGAGGAAAATATATACTGTAAAGGACAAAATAAACCGTAGAAAAGGATATGCTAAATTTACCTCATTCCTACTACAACATAAATGTGATAAAATTAGCCAAAAAAATTCTAGAATGCATCTAAGAAAGAAAAAAGAACTGAACTCTTAACAGCTTTTAAATGAAAAAGAATTAGGATTAAACAAAACAGTAGACGATATATATTTCAAGCATATTCATTCACTTACTACGTACCATAACTTTATCTGCACTATCAGTCTATGACCTGTCTCCATTAAATGGCAACAGTACCACCTACTGTACTCATAACAAGTCAACAACAAGACTTTACACAGAAAAATTCTCAGATCTGTTTTATGTCAATATCACAAACAGGATAAAACCCTTATAGAGCTGTGTGCAATCCTACAGTATTACCTTTCTGAAACATCATTTAGAGCCCTTATGTTTTATTAAAAAAAAAAAAAAAAAGCCTGTAATGACACAGAGCTAAAAGCACAACGTTGAAATAGAATCATTAGTATTTTCTCTAGAATTCAAACACCCTCCTTAGCAACAAATTCATTGTTTATTATATTAAAAATATTACTTCATTTAAAGCTGTATGTGGCTACATTGCACCACTTATATCTGTCTCACTGTCTTCTCACAAAGTGGCATAACTGCTCTACATCAAATATTGTAAAAGACATGGAACCTACATGTTGACATCTTTTTAAAACCTGTTAATTTTTTTGTTAAACTGGATGTTACAGAACCACAACTTAAAAAATAAAATTCTTTTCCATTTTGGCTATTGTGACTTACTTTATTTAATTTGCCTTCATATTTAGCAATAGGTCACTCACCTGGAAGACACAACTGTAGTTTTTCCACAACTGTTGTAATATTCCGTTGCTGAACTCTACATCGGATGATTTCCTCTGTTTGGGCTATCACCTTAGAGATTAAAAGAAAGAAAGAAAATCACAAATTATGCAAATAAATTTAATTTGCTACAAATATTCATAATGCCCATATAGGAAGCACCAGTTTCTCACCTCTTTCCCAGCATCCTGAAGCCTTCGGTTGGTATCAGTAACTTGGACCTTAAAAATAATTTCACCTTTGTTAGACAAATATGCATATATTGCCCTGATGTGACTGCTCACCCTTGTAATCAGATCATGCTTCATGAGAAACTTAGAACAAAGAAATGCAAATTCAAATTAACTCTACAGCTTGAACTTGAACTTTTGATCGCAAAGGGCTTTTGTTAACTTCAATTACTTATGACAGTTCTTTCTAACAGATTCTGTGGCAAACTTCTCAAATTTACTTGGGATTTTTGAACTTTCCTTGTTTCTGTAGGTCTGTCAAACAATTCAAATCATTGACCCAATTGACCACTGGTCCCTTTTTGATAACCTCAATGAGCTCTATGGGCCATTCATTGTCTGTAAGAAATGGTGATTGCATTTTATGGTAATTAAACATTCATACTTTGCTGAATGCAAACACCGGGTGGTTGATTAACATCAAACGTGGAAATCTCCAAACCACAGCAACATTTTAATGCTGCAGGTGCAGGCAAAGCTCGACCTCAGATTTTCCCACATAGTAAGTGACTCATTAGGTCATCATAATAAGGAAGCACATTCTAGTTTATTAAAAATCTCATTAATTTCTGAACAAAGATGCTCAATGACCTCATTGACGCTGTATTTGGTCTCTTGTTATCTGAATATCCTTTATATAATGCTCTTCTAATCATAACCTCTGATGAACTATGCTCATTCTGTCTGGTGTGCATATTTTGCTCTCAAAAGTGTAAAGAGAGCTAAAAGGGACGGATCTCATAATTCACTATTCTGCATTCTGATTTGGGAGTAAAAATTCTCATTTCTAATGAAAACTACTAACTCCACCTACTCTCCTGCTCTTTACAGAGCAAAGAAAATTTATTTTTCATCCAGAATTGCAGTATTTTTATTTTTCTAATTAAGATTTTAAATTTTTCTAAGGTCTGACATATAAATGCACGATTAGAAAAAGACCTGTGTAAGAAATATTGGGTTTACCATTTGTTGTTCTTTACCTTCTGAGAAAGCCTTTAAAAAGGGCAAAATAATTTTGGTAACATTTTCTGAAAGCATATATTAAAAAAAAAAAAAATCAGAATTAGACCTAATAAAATATTCAGCTTTGTAAATGTAAAGTACTGGATCAGGCAACACAGCTCTAATCACAAATCCTAAATAATCCACTTTTTGAAAAACTGTTGCAAAGATCAGAGTGTATGTGATAATCACTAAATTCTTATTCCTTCTTTTAAATTCAAAGACAATAATATACGAAATTCTGAAAAAACTAGTTCCTTACCTTTAATTTTTCTGCATCAGCCCTAACTTTAAGAAGTTCTGTAATAGCATCCACAAAACCCTGATGATGAAAATTGCACATCTTTTCTATCTCCCTGTCATGGTTACGTATGCAGGCATCTAGTTTTTCCATAAACCTCTGATGTGCATTTGGTTGGTCATCATATACAGACCTGTTAAATACAAATAAGAAAATCAAAGTTTACTTTTTCCCCCAGTTAAAAATAGTATGCAAGGATCTTTATTGAAATCTCTCTTCTAAAAAGAAAATAAAAGCACGCAAACGTGATGTTACGGTGGCATCACTTGTGATCCACTCCACGAAAATCAGCATTAAAAGAAAGAGATGGCACAAAACTGAGAACTGAACCCAGCCCTTATGGCATTAATCCAGGTGCTTAACCAGTTACATCACGGTTGACCTGAGCCTCACTGCTCTGTTATTTATGCCCTAATGCTCAAATATGGGTACAAAAGAATCAGTTTCTCTGACCACCTCAAATAGCATGATCGCTTTTCTATCAAACTCCGCTCTGTGCTAATATAAAGAAGTGCAAACATACAAATTTGCTTTTCTCGTATTCCTAACATCAGAGTTATCCAACTAAATCAGGGTTGGATGCTTCCAGCCAGAATGACCAGACCACTGTGCGGCAGCAGCCGGACCCCTGGCGGAAGGCAAGCCCCACTGCTCCCTGCCTCCTCCTGCCCATGCTCAACGTTTCCTGCAGCAAAACCATGACATGCACATGCCTAAGGCTGCTACTTCAATGGGATCTAACCTTCAGAAATGGCTAAAATCAGGTCTTTTGGTTTATTTTACTAATTGGTTGAATAGCACACTTGGAAACCTCGAGCAGGAAACATGACTCCAGGAGAAAATACCGGCGTAGCTTGTTGAGCTGCGTCAGAAATAGAAAGCTGCGTGGAAAAATGCTCAAGCATGAGAGTGAGCAAAGGAGACAGGGGCAATTTAAAGCTTTAGACTTTAGCAGAGGAAGCAAGAAAAGAGGTATTACAGAGAACTGTACTGGAAATCAAAGGTATGAAGTCTTCCAAGAAAGGTAAGGCAAAAGCAGTTCCAAAATTTGATTAATAACTTGATACAGCAACAACAGCAAAGACAGGTAATTTTTGAAGCAGCTTTTCAGATAGAATGAGGGCGGCAATATGAGGATGAAATAGTCATACATGTACAAACGTGTTTGTACTGCAAACTACAAGCCTTTGAAAAATCAGGAGGTCAAAAATCTTTAAATTGCTTTTTTAGCATCTAATTTCTTTTCATAATTAGAAAGCTTTCTCCAGAAATCCATAAGGAGAACCTGCTTTAAAAAAAATAAAAAATTATTTAAAATCTTAAGATGGGGGCGGGGTAAGGGGAAAGGCTGACATTTCAATGGTCTCAATGTTACTTTTAGAAGTACAGTATTAAGTTCAAGACCCAGGCAACAGTCAGTCAAAGCTTCTAAAACTCTTGAGTAGAGAGAAAGTACTTCCCCACTGGTCTTCTCAGAGAAGTACGAGTTCCCATATTCTTCAAGATCCTCTTTTCTAACCAGACAGCTGGGCTCTGCCAGGATCTGGGGTCATCATCACCCATTCAACAAACCTATAGCTGAGTGTCTGACAAGAACTTGAAGAACTTGACCCTTCAAGGAAGAAAAGGATACAGAAGAGATTGAAAAGACTCTTGTAACTAGATTCTTCATCCTTTTTGAGTTCCTTTGACCTTGGACAATACTCAGAGAAGCAACTGAAGTTAGAGCAATGAGAAAGGTAATAAGCTGTCCTACATGCCAAAGGAAGAAAGCCAGTTCCTGATAGCCTGCTTGCTATAGATATTTTCTCAGGGAAAAATCTATTCAATAACATACTCCTAGAATATCCCCCTTCAGCTTATGATTGATAGGAAAATCAGGCTATGGTACTGAAAGGCAGGTTCTTTCCTCCGAAGTGCACCAGGGGAAAATCCAAGGTTGTTGACCCATGAAGTGGTTCACAAAGGGGAACGTAGCCTTCACCCTTTCCACCACCGCAGTTTGAAATGACAGCTGGAAGGAGCAAATGTGTGACAGTCAGTCTCTTCTGAGGTTCCTGTCAGACTGCCTGAAAGGGATCCCTCAAGGCTGCCCAGGACAACTGTGGTTTAAAGGGCTGTGGTGGAAGATCATGAGTGACCCACACCCACCAGTGGGAAACACCTGCACCCAGAACCTGGTGCTGGCTGGAGGGAGAAGCCGCAACCTGGCCTGGGAGGAAAGAAAGGTGCAAGAAATTCTGGAAGCACATATGATGTAGCATAGGCAATACAGTATCCACTGTTCTAAGAATCAGTATTTATTATTTGTTCTCAGTATTAAAGCTTATACTTCCATTTAATGATGATAAATAAAGTACTGAGTGATAATTCTCAGGGGTATTATCACAATATTTGATTCAAAATCATACAGGGAATAAATGTTCAAAATTGAGGAAGAAGAAATCAATACTGTGTACGTCCCAACACACTGCCTTAACCACAAGATTAGCCTACCTTATTAAAATAAGAGTTACTTTTATGTTCTACATTACACTGTTTTCTGCAGGGATACTAATAAAATGGTGATCTGTGATCTAAAACAGTATTTTGACAGAGCTCCTTAAGATTCACTAACAGTATAAATTCCATATTAATTACATATGTAGACAGCTCCATCTTGTGGGAACAATAACAAATCAACCCTCTTCAGCACTCTAGTGAAAAAACTCCCGAGACAGAACTGCTTACCTTTAAAGAAATAAATCATCACAGTATTTAAAAGAAATTCACACTTTGTATCACAACTCTCTGATCTAGGTGTGAAGTAAGAAGACAAATTAAACAAGTTTACTAACTTTCTTAAGACGCCATACTCTTAGAACACTATACACATGCTATTTCAGAGGCTTCAGAAGGAAGTTTGACCTTAAGCACTGGCTTTTTTGAAAGTGTAAGTGTACTTGAGAGAGCCATGCCATCTCTGGCCGAGGACAGAAATCAGGTTTTTTTGCAAAACTGCAAACACAATTGAGGTGGTGCATGCCTGATTTACCCATTATGGAACATCACACATAGTACAGTATGGTTTATTTCTGATACTGAAGCTTATTTTCCATACATACGTTTCAAAAAATTACCTACACATATCTAAATAAAGTAATTGCTGCCTTTGAATAATTATCTGAAGGTGTACATTTCAACAGATTATGGCACTGCAAGCAATCCTGATAGCAATTCTGCGCTTTTCAGAGTTAAACTATCGGGCAGACAAATAACCATATTGCAATATGTTGGAGAGAGATACGGAATCCTGAAAGCATCCTATAGCTAATTCTTTTAAACTACCACACAAAATTAACAGAATTTACAACACACACACAGTTCTGTTGGGAAGAGAGTGAGGACATGGTAACCCTTCCAGATGTATTTCTTCAGGAGACGACTGTCACGTGCAACTACGTATACCCTAAAAATCTCTCTCTCACTTTAACTTCACATATGTCAGTGGGAAGTGTCATAAAAAGGGGCAAACGTGCCTAGCCTATCAAGAGAAATTTTACATGTGTAATATATAGGTCTTTCAATTTTGTTTACATTTATACACTGCTGAATGAAGAACCCCAAGGATCCTCTTCAGCTTTATGGGGCCCTGAAGTGGATCCTGTGGTCTGAAATATAGCACAAATCTCAACTGAGCAAAACTGAAAGACATAGTCAGTTTGTATTACAATTGCTTTCAACCTGCGATCTATACAGCTATAGGAACCTATGGATGACTAGTGGTTGATTCAGACCATGAAACTCTGAAGAGTAAGCTTTTTCTCAGTATGAATCTTCAAACTGGAAAAAAAAAGGAGAAGATCACTGATGTTGGACATGGAAGTTTGTACTTGATTTTGGCACCAAAAAAAATTAAACAACATACCATCTTAATTTTCAGTCTGGAATGACAGAACATTAACTTTAGTGACCAGTTAGACGTCAGTACCGCGAATCGGTGACGGGGCAGGTACTATTTTGATTCCTAATTGATGGGGCAAGCAGGGCACCCATGAAGAACACAAGCAGAGCTGAAGGATTTTTCTGGTAATGTGTAGCGGGTTATTTGTTTATATTTCCCAGAACTCTGCATATAGACAGCGAGACTTTTTTCTGACTCATCCCAACAACTGGACAATATGAGTCATATTAATGCCAGTCTGCGTAAATACAAGGTAGTGCAGAAAGTACTCAAAAGAGCAAAAAAAATTAATTAGGAATAGTCATAGATAGCTTAACCTAAAGGAGAAAGATGTCTCAGTCACTGGCTCGATTTTATTGCAATAGGGATATTTTTACCTTGATATTTTCTTACTAGCTGGGCTGAAGGGAGAAAGACAAACATAAACAGATTTGAATTCAGGTCTCAATCAAAAATGAAGGACAATTTTCAGCTATGCAACCATTTCCCAATTGAAGAAAACCAAACAAGGTTACTTTATGCCATAAAAAAACTCCCTAAAATTGTTATTTTCAAAACTGAAACACAATATGAAAAATATGTATTTAATAGGCCTTATTGACAATTTTTTTTGTGTCTATGTGCAAAAATCTATTGAAGCACCAGAGGGCACCATTCTATGCACAAAAATACCAGCATTCTATGCACAAAAATACCAGCAAAAAGGCTAATCTCCTGAGAGCTAAAATTCAGCCAAGAATCGTAAAACCTACCCTGCCATGAATTCCACCTGATCCTTCACAAAATAATAATAGTAATTTTAAAAAATCAATTATCCTCAAATCATCTGATCCATTCTGTAATGATAACTCCATACATATGCATTATCACTCGAAACCACTATCAAAGATGTCTTCACAAATGGTTACAGTACATCTTCAAAAATATATTTCTGCTCTCATTTCATATAAATATTTTCTGTGCATGCAACCAGGATACATGTTATTAAATGCCTGAGTGCAAATTTGCTTTTTCCCTCCTCATCCCCAGTCTTCACATCTACGTCACCTTCCCACTACCAGATGAGAATAATCAGAAACCTGAACACAACTTCCACTGTAATCTACTTGGCGGGAGTTTAGCATGGAAAAGTAATGCAAAAGTAATCAGAATGAGAACTAAAGTAATTTTGCCCCTTATATCTATGGCAA